TTTTTTTTTTTTTTTTTTTTTTGGCTAATCGAGGTAAACGGCCGGATCTCGTTTTCGCGATAAATCTGATCGCGAATTTTATCATTGGCCAAAGTGGGACGATGACCATGAGTCCCCATAGGAATATCGCTGCGAATTGACGTGCTCGTATGTTTTGTTATCTCGCGGGATAGTCCTGATACGATGTCCGTGTAATCGGCGACGGGAGATAAAATTTTTATATGTAAAATGTTAATCGTGAATTTTTGAAAATACGTATTTTGAACTTTTTTTTCCTCCGTCGTTTCGGATAAACCGTCGCTATGGGAATTTCAATGGAAACCAACGGCCACCGTCGCTTACGTCTTTCACGCTCTAGGGGCATTCTAAAAACGAAAATAGATTATCGTTGAATCTCTGCCAGTCCGCGCCTTCGAGCCCGTCGGACCGTACTGTGCGCTCCTCTTATGTATTTTGCATAGGCGCGTGGGTAAACAAATAAAGATCCAAGGGGGGAGAGAGAGAGAGGGGGGGGAGGTCTTGCCTAGAATCAGCACAGAAAATGAGAGCAGATCGTCACGCTGTGTTTTAACGTCGAGGTACAGTAAGATTCAAGAGTTCGTTAAATTCTACGTACACCGTGTCGTCCCGATAAGTCATCGTTATCTCCCGTATCGATACGCCATAGAGCAGACAAAAATGATTACTTATTTCATGAAATGTATGAAAAAATTTTCATAAAAATTCTTTGATACAATTTTTTGTATTTCATTTAAAAAAAAATTATGTTCATTCCCACGGCTGTCGTTACCCATCCGAAGAATCCTTATCGGTCCACGGTTCCTCTGAGTCGAAAAAAAATCATATCCGATATTCATATATTTCCTATGATTCGTGGAATCCGCCGTAAAATTCCTAAAATCAGCTTTCCATTTTTGGAATCGGTAATCCTCGTGACGTCGCTCCTTGAAATAAGGACAATTATTCGCGGCGTCAATTTAGCATGGACGCCGCCGCGAACGTTCTCGAAGGTTCTCGAAGCGTCGGTAAATGTCGGTGCAGGAATCTGTATTCCAGAAGGTTCCCCCTTGTTATACTACCTTTCGTTAGGACAATTACACGTATCCTTTGCAAAGGGGTAGAGTCACGACCGATATCAGTATGGTATCTCAGATATTTATGGTGTTACCTCCAAGTCCCCATACGTATTCCCGTTGCATTGCATGCAGTTTACTGTACGAGATACATAAGGACGACTAACGTATTACATAGTGCTTCTAAGCACGACACGTATCGTGACTGCCTTCCCTCCCCTCCATCCCTCGTTTGCCCCACTCCTACTACTTCTGTCTCTCTTACTCTTTACGTCATTCCTTTCCTTCCTTCATTCATACCCCCCTCATTTATTCCATATATATATATATATATACATATATACACGTCTGTTCTCTTTGGTAGCACACAGGACTCTTCCTCGCCATGGCTTTCGTTCCCAATTTAATAGCGGAAAATGCTCCGAGCCAAAGTCAATAAGTTGTCCCTCTTTATTACATCGTGCGGATGGGGCAGCGACAGTAGGGGGGTGAAATGAGGCTGGGGGGCGGGGGTGGAGTAGGATAGGACGGAAACTACCCTTGCACCAACGAATCTGATTACCGTTTCTATGTAACTCGACGTAATAAAGCGTGCGCGAGTGATTTCGTTCGGTAACCGTGTGGACGGAGCTTTACGTATATATAGATATACAGTCCAGGGCTCATATCCCACATAAGGAAAAGTCGCGCGGATGCCATTTAGATAAGAATCGAAAGTTTCGACGAATTTCTCCGAGCTTTGATCGCTGACTGCCTTTGTCGTTGCTTTACTACGTTTTTCTCCATTTACTTGGTATGTTTCGAATTTCGCGTACCGCTGGTATCCTTTTTTTTCCCCCTCGCCGGCCCCCCGGTATTGTCAACAGCCACCGGAAAAACGAATCCGATTACCATTTGTACGTGCGATTTAACA